ACCCTTCACCTAGAGTCTGAGAACCACTTGATCTAGGCCAGGGACAGATCCCATGGGCAACCAGAGTCTCTCCTCTGCAGCAGCACCAGGCAGCAGGCACAGAAAGAGCAGCCTTTGAGCACATGGGCACCCCAGGCTGGGAATCGAAACAATCCAGCTGCTGAGAGTCACACCAAACCTGACTACCTCAGCGGGTGTGCAGGGCCCAGCCGCCCTCCCCTGGAAGCCCAAATCTGAACCTGCCACTTTCCATTAAGCTTAGGTTTCCTGAGGCACCCAGTGTGCATCTGAGGCTGTAAGCACAGGACACTGCCTAGGGACTGTGTTCAGGGAGATGCCACCACCCATGACTCTTAAGGCCTGGGACTCTATGACCCTGCAGGGCTCCCATGACTCAGACCTCGGGGTGTAAATGAAAGATTTAATCCCGGTTACTGGGAAGACCCCTTTCCTGAGTGTTAGACTATGAATTCCTCAAAGCCTCTATTTTTTTAATGTTTTCTGGACCCTGCAAGGTAAATAAATACAGGCCCCAGAAGTTACTATAGTCAGGGGAAAGTAAGAAAGGAGGTTCACCAAACCTCTCCTCAAGCCAAACCCCTGCCCAGCCCCTCATCCTGGTCCCTCCCCAAATCTTTCCCATGTAGGAAAACCCAGCCTCAGCTCTCCCAAGCTCTAGGAAAACACAGTGCGGGACAGCATTAGAGATGTACCTCTTACCCACAATCCCAGAGGCCACTTTAGGACAGTGGCTGGGACTGTCAGTCACACAGCACAGGCTGGCAGAGCCCAAGGAGGGTTGAGCTGGTCCCCCCAACTACCTAACTGATGGGCACCTTGGCTCTAGACCTTCTCCCAACCATGTTGAGGGAGGGAGACAGAACAGATGTCAAGAAATGAAGTTTAACTGCCTGCCCGGACCCTGCCTCTACGGTAAACCACAGCACTGCCCAATCTGGCCCAACTCCTAGCATAGAGCAAGTGTGGTTCTCAGATTCAGCTATTGCTGAGCACTTTACTGAGGGCCATCAGCTGGATAGCAAGCACCCCAAGCCCCAAATAGCAAGTGAGGCCTAACTAAGGGGCTTCGATTCCAATTTTCATACCTAAAGTATAACAGTGATCCTGTGAGAAAGATACAGAAGGCAGACTCTTTTCAATTTACAGATGATAAAATCAAGTCCAAGGTGAAGAACAATAAAAAGCAAAGACATGTGACACAATCCAAAAACTGACCTTACCGTCCATTCTATGAGCTGGACAGTGTTATTGATCTTCATGTTTAATTGACAGAGGCACTGAATACTTCTCCCAATACAGTCACTTGCCCTGTCTAAACAAAATAAAAACATATACCGTCGAGGTAGAAAAATGGACGTGGAGACATTATGAATACCCCCGACGGATTCAGTCAGAGGACACTGCTGTAATGGAAGACAAGCCAGAATGCTGGGATTCACCTATAGCAAAGATTCTCTAAGATGCGACTCTGGTGACCAGGCAGGAATGCGATCACCTCTACCTCTTTTACAGATGAGAAAACAGAAGCTTTGAAAAGGGTGGTTAATATGCCTAAGGATCGTGAGTTAACCACAGAGTAGAAGAACCTGAGGTCTCACGACCTCCACCCTTGTTTCCCAGCCCAGCTGGAAGTCACCAGACACCAAGCAGATGACAAAGCACAAAAGCAAGGTCCACAGAGTGGCTGACTCTTCAACACCTCACAAGGATGGCCTGAGTAGAAAATGTGATTAACAAAAAGGTTCCCCACAACCAGATAACACACCAGTCCCACATTCAAGCCTGTTCTCCCTGTGATTTCCTCCACTGGTAACCTCTGGAACTCAGTCCCAGAGTCCCAGAAATAAAGAGGAAGGACAAGACCTGTAGGAGTACCTCTGCTGTCCCCTCTGTAGGGAAGATGCTACCCACACTAGCCACAGGCAGGCAGAGCAGCGGGAGGTCCAAGAAGCCCATGGGTGTGGTGTGTGCGGGGCACTGAGGAGCAGCAGGAGGCTGCTTCCCTTTATGTGAGTACTAACACCCATTTGATGCTATCACAAATGGGTGGCAAGCAACAGAGATCACCATCCTAGCACCAGTTAGGGGGTTAAACAAGCGGGACTCACCACTACTCCTTGAATCCATGAGTGAAGTAAAAAGATGAATGAGCAAAGGAAGGCCATTCACTTGTCCAGGGTCGGAGGAGCAAGCTGCCTCTGCGGCCCACCTCTTACTAGCCCCCCAGGATCCATTCTTATCCACCAACCTCTGTCCCTCAAATGCAACACCCCAATTTATCTTTAACAAACAGCATTTCTTCAGCTAATTCACAATGTTCCTGATGACAGAAACACAAACACTGGGACCCAGACTTGGGAAGAATTCACAGGGGAAAGTAGGCTTAGTCGGGTTGACCAAATGGTTCCAATATACTGTTCCCCCCTGGCCATGTGATGCTTCAGTCACTAAAATGCCACCTCTGGGTGGAAACCGGAGTCAGGTGAGAGTCATCAAACTCTTGGTGCCTCTGTCCAGATGACCAGGAGTGTTCCAGCCAATCAGCAATGGTCCCGCGGTGAAAACAACATGAAGCGGGGATGTGACAGACGTGGAGTGAGCAATGTGTTTGTTGCTTTATGCCTCTGAAATTTGGAGACACTTATCAAGGCAAGCCCTGATCTATCTAGACTGACACAGGCAGTGACTCACACCCCAATCTTACATACATGGCAATACCAGTCTTCCCAAGCCTGATGTTAGGGAGACAAACCTACATGGCCAGTCTGCAAGAGTTCAGGAACACATGCTATGCAGCCAGACCAACGAGATGTTCTCAGAAGCAGGGGACAGAAGAACACCAGCTCGGAGGAATTACAGTCCCACTGGGGTCCAGGCTTATGCAGTGTGCTAATCCACTTTCCTCACTTCTAAGAGGAAGGCATTGTCTAACTGCCTAGAAATGAGGACACCTGGCTCACATCGAGACCTTAAGCAAGTCACTTTGGAACTTCTATAAGCCATAACTTCCTTCTTTGTAAAAGGTGACTTTAACACTATCTACCATACTGGCTAAACCAGTTAATTCAAGTATAGCTTCTAAGGTAGTATTTGGTATACGTCTCAATAGACTCACCATCACTACTGTACTTAAACCTTCACCATTACTGTAAACTGGTCTATCACCTCCACTGAAACCCAGCAAAGGTTTCCTAGGACTGGAACAATGGCACTTTGCAGGCATTGCCAAACGAATTCTTCCACAACTCAAGTTAAGCAAGTAACAAGTCAAACCCCTAAGTGCACAGTAGCCTATCAAGTGAGATCTCAGGAAATATTTCCGAACCCAGAGTTTCTAGACCTCCTTGCTCCCTGGCCTCCATGGAACTTTACCAGCACCAGGGCCCCTTCCCACCCACACGTGGCATGAGCTTTGTCTTCGCGCTCCCATATATGAGATGAAAGCCAGGTTTTGCTCTCAAGCACACCTGTCCTCAGAGATGAGCACAGCTGCCTAGCTGGTAAAGAGGGGGTGACTTCCCAGAACAGCCAGCCCTCGTGCAGTCCTCCACTCTCTGTGCCCTTTCTTCCTAGAAGCAGCAAGGTCTTCCGAAGAGCCAGTGGGGTTAGTGAATCCCGTTTTCCTCACTGATGCTGCTAAGTGAGACCAAGCTCAGTAAAGAAACATTACCCAGCACTTATAAGTCCAGCCTGGACTCTAAGGCTACAAAGAGCTTACATTCCCGCAGGGGGTTCTGAGCCTGAAACAGTGCCTGGAACAGTACCTGCTCTGCTGGCACCCCGATTCTCTCAATCATGCTTTGTTAAATGAACTGAAGATCACATCTGATGGTCCAAGCAGTGCAGTTCAGAGATGTGGGGATAGAGGGATCAAGAAACTCTCCAACTAAATGTCAGGTGCAACAAAGAATGATGCAATAAGAGAAAAGGAGGAAATCCCTCTGGTGGCCTGGGTTTCCAAGAACTATCTCCCAAATATCAGGGATTTTTTGGATGGGACAATGATTCCAGACAGCTGAGAGGGGAGCTAGGAAGGACTATGGGGTCAGAGGGAAGCTATGGGCTTCACATTGAGGGTGCCCGTGCCCATTAGACTCCCTGACAACTAGTAGGGAGGATGCCTCCTGCCAAGCAGTGGGCTCCCTGAATGTAGGAGGGATGATGAGGTGCAGAGGGTGCTATGATATCTTAAGCCCCAGGTTTCTCTTCTCAAATAAGGAAGGCTGGTGAAGCACTGTTGGAGGCACTAACTTCCCCTATTTGTGAGGTCAAAGGGCGGCGGGAAGGTTCACCCTAAGAGCAAGCCCCATGCAGAAAGACCCCACAGAGAAAACCTGCAGAGGAGCCAATGAAATGCCCTGCATTCACTGCCCGTGCCGACCTGACGCCCCTAGACACCAGTACCCCGGGGCAGTCTTCCAGCTTGGCCATAAGGCTTGGCAGCCAGCAGCCCACCGTCCCTTCTCTCCTCCCCCCAGACCCCCCCAACCCTCACTCCTCCCTCCCCCCAATGGGTCCCTACGCAGCTGCCCCACCACCTTCCCCCGCAGGAGCACCAGGAATAAACAACTCTGTAATCACAGACCCAACTCGAACGAAACTCCAGTTGGCTCTGGACCTGGCTTTGCTCTCAAGCACACCACCGTGAAGCTGAAACTGGGTGAAGGCGTAGTCAAGCACCAGCAGCCCCAAACCCATAAAGGGCAGAGACAGCCAGCGGGCCGAAGCCGGCGACTAGGGACACACAGTCAGCTGGGCTGGAACGGGGCCGCCCTCCTAGGGCTTGCCCACCCTCCACCACCCGCCGGACCTCTCCGCGACCGAGGGTGCGCGATTGAGTCCAAACAAGTGCCCGCTCCAGGGGTCGTTGCTGGGGACAAGGGGCAGAGTCCGGAGCTGCAGCTGCGACGGCGATCGGGCCCCTCCACCCGCGCTCCCCGAGCCCTCCACCCCCGCCCGACCCGGCGCCCAGCGCTCACCAACCGTGGCGCGGACAGGGCGAAGGCCACAGAACCCCGGCTTCCAGACGGGTCGCCCGCCCAGCCTCTCACTCAGCCGGGCGCCAGAGTTCGGCCAAGAGGAGTCTGGGCCAAGGCCTCCAGCCCCTCGCTAGCGATCGGAGCAGACAAAGCCAGCGCCGCCCACCGGGCCGCCCGGGTCAGGAGCCCGAGGGG